AAGTGTCCTGGCATCCCTGCAAAACCCAAACGGCCGCCCGTCTTAGAAAAATCTCTCCCTCCCGATGGACCTGGAGCTGTCGGGAGAGAACCGATGCTCTAAACCTCACTTTCTGGACGACCAAAGCCATCCATCTGCCAAAAACAAACACTCAAAGATGCAAACCTCCACTCAAGAAACATCACCGCACCAGGTGCTTTTCCTGAACCCTCAACCACGCGGAGCGGTGCGCCCTGAACCCTGAACCCTCAATTACAAGCATATATATATATACAAGCATCACACAACCACTAGCCCGGACTTCTTTGGATTGATGAAACAAACATGAAGCCAAACCGAACCACCTCGTTTGGGGCGCGCACATGACGCCACGTGCCTCCATCACCCCGTGGAAATGGAGTATACTCCTGGCAGATGAGGTCGACCATTGAGCCACTGAGATCTGCAGGGAACTACACTCCCTGAAATCATAATGGAAGTGGATGGCATGAAACGAAGTATGACCATCTTCCTCGACAAGCAGGTGGTTGTGCACTTCCATATAATCTCCGAGTGCACTTCACATGTCTACAATTGCCTTTTTCTCCATCCCTTTGTACCTGCTTTAGCAAGGCAAGGGGCATGTAGGAAGGGACCTCCGCACAAGTCTCACGCTCGAATTGCTGAAACACGCTCGAGGCAAATTTTCTGACTACAATTAAGGCACCAATCTATGCTTTAGGGATCTTTAAGGTACGAAGGATGGGGGCAGAAAAGAAAGGTACGATGGATGGTGCAGGTACATTGTCTTTTTGAGGTCAAACCACTCTTGCGGCATGGTATTTCGTTGGGATACAAAGCCCCAGAAGGTACATCCAACATTGGATAAAATCCAAAAAACGATTGGGGATGAGCTGGGTGTGTCAACTGTGGTGTCCTTCTTTTGTGTCAACTGAGCTGTCTGCCAGGTCTTTAAAGGTCATCCTGTTGAAACTCATCATACTAAGCTCATCTAAGCTCCCAAGATTGAACCCCTTGAATTCTCAATTCAGCCATCATTGAACATCACTAGTTGACACCTCAAAGAAAACATCGAATCCCCGTCAGACGAAGAACGCAAAAAGCTACGCCACTCACCCTCTCTTCTCCTGAAGCTTCACAGAAGCTGGACTCAGGGCCCAAGCTGGGGTGGATTGCGAGCGCGGCGAGGACTCCTTCACTGGTGTTGGGGCAAAGCCTGGTGTGGATGCCCCGGGCGTTGCACCGTGTGCCAGGGCGGGAGCGTGCTGTGAGGATGGGGTGGATCTCCGCAAGCAGGACGACCTCATGGATCCTGGAGTGTGTGTGGACACCCTGCCAGGTGTAGGCGCAAGGCCCGGCGTGGAACCCACCCCTGGTGTGGACGCCTCAAGAGCTGGCGTGCAACCTGCTCCTGGCGTCGACTGAACCAAGCCTGGCGTGGACCCTAGCGTGGACCCTGGCGTGGACTGAGCCAAGACCGGGCTGGAAGCCGTCCCTGGTGTAGATCCCTCAGCCGGAGTGGATTCCAAAGTGTGCGCTAAGGAAGGGGTGGAGGCCCCCATTGGCACGTCCATCTCGCACGCTGTTCAGTGCCAAAGTGTTTGATCTGTGACATGCTAGGGAAACGAGGTGGGTGATTGTTGATGGGTGCGCGGGTGGGTAATCATTGATTTTCATCCATGTTCCATGGTCATGATCTGTGACACCATTTCAGTGCGAATGAAGGCTTCAATCCGTGTGGAGTTTGTGCTTGCATCAGTTTGTCTTTTGGAGCTACTGGCCTAGGTTGCTGGTGGCGATGCCGAGCCGCTCCCTGCACTGGCTCGGCCATCAATAGATAGAATTCATAGTGAAATGTTTCGAGGGGGGGTGGACTTCTTTCCACTATAGAAAGATCTGGCAAGTGTTGAGTGCACCAAATAGGCGCGCAGGCTTCATTCAAGAGTTCATGTTCATAGGTTCTGCGAATTGTCTCACTTGAACCTTGTGAGAAGGAACAAGCACATTGATCTTTGAGCAGGATGCAGGCTCATGACAGTGACTACAATATAGATCAATATAGTATCCATGTTGATGGAATAATATTGCATCAGTTGAGCCAACAAAGCACAAACACATAGGATGTGTTCCTTCAACCGTGGGATGAAAAACCATATACAGAAGATCAACAGCAAAGCATAACTGCATCAAGTCTAACCAGTCTGCTAAACCCAAAGAGCGCCTCATCTTTGATTCTCCGCGCGTTTAGCACCGTCCTTCGCACCGTCTAAGCCTCATCTTTGGACTCCGGTGAACGGTGAAACTGAAGATCCCCACTGGGCAGATCTTGAGCATCCCAAGGCACACCGCGAGCTGAGCCGGTTGGCACCCGCGTGTCTTTAACCCTGGATCTTTCACTATACATAACAGTATTGACCAGCAACATTGAAATTAACTGATTAATTACTATCCGCATCAACTTTGGTGAGGAATGGAGAGGCCCAGTTTCAAACACTGCCTGGCCAACTCTCTGATCTGAAGACCCTCTGTTGCCCAGAAGAAAGGTTGGCGAAGCTTAGAAGCTTATGGTAGGGATGGACAGGGTTAAACACACATCCTAATCTTCCAAACAATCCCTAAGTAGACCAGGGAGGTTTTTGGTAAGCTTAGCCATATACCCTGACTTTCATAGTCTTTGTTCCATCGCGAAACCAAACGCAGGGCAGATCACGCGGCATCACCTCGCGCCCTTCACAAGTCCACGATCTCGTTGCGGTAGACGCGCGGCGCAATGACCTTTGTCCCCGAGGTGAAGGGACAGAAGCGGTTCCGGAAGACCACCTCGGCGGTAGTCCAAGCGGTGTGGAGGTCCGTTTAAACCCTCCGTTTTTCGAGACCTTCCGCGGTGTGTAAGGATGAAGATCTATTGTTATCTATTGTTCATTAATTAATCTTTACACACTACATTCACCGCACCGTTTCTGTTTTCGCCGGTTCGTAAGTGGCACGCCCACCCGCACTTGTCCAAGGGATTGCAAACCGAAAAACAGTCTAACAAAGCAGGGCAACACCTGCCATTATCCTACCATCCACGCAATCTTGTCCATCTATCAATCACACAATGGCTAATTGCCGCTCCTAAAAGGTGATAAAGAGGAGTATGTAATGTCTGAGCATTCGGCTGCCAGAAACGTTTCAGGCAATCCAACATGCTTTGATCTGACATAATGTACCATCCAACCAACATGTTCAAGTCAAACAACTCAAGAAAAGCAACCATCCAGCATCGTCCAGTGAGTATGCGAATCTGCCTCACAAGGCTTCCGCCTCTGTTTTGGACTTTGCTTTTGACCTCAAGCCCAAGAAAAAGGCCGTGTGAAAGGTAAATTGCCGATGTGTCCATCCCTCAACCATTGACTTATCGAATCTTATCGATCTCCGGTCTTTCCTCCAACCAGTTCCGCACCTTCCCTTGGATCACTGCACCGGGGTCAAACTCCATGGGGCCTCGCGTTCATCACGCCACGCGTTCGTCGTTCGACGGTTACTGAAACGCGCGGATCGGATGAATACATAGGCCTTCATGTTTGGTCGGTCAGGAGGTGTCAAAAGTGATGAAGCGTGTTGTCTGATGTGTTCTTTGTTAATGCATCTTAATTCTATATCTAACTGATGCTGTCAAACTCACTGTCAAGTCATCTCAAGTTTGAACATGCTTGACACATGCAGGCCTCTTCTCGACTCGACAACAGAAACACCTTGTGTGTTGGATTCCGGGGATGAGGGTGACATGCAAAGCTTCCGCATGAAGGAACACTTTTTCAGCTGCTCTCACATCCTGCCAAATCTTAGTATCCAAACCTAGATGCTCGAAATTTCCAATGATGTCTTCTAGCCTCTCCTCCAAAAGAACAACTGACCCATACTGATTCCACCGTACTCCACCCACTCCATCTGCGCTCTAGCCAGATCTCTCCCTCTCGGTGAGGTGAAACAGCTCCCTGTCGCCTTCGATTTTCAGTGAGACGCAGTCCTTCAGCGAGGGCGGGCCCCTGGGAATCAAGGTCTCCATTCGATCCACAAACCTGGAGATGAGCCGAATGGTTCACTGCAGCGGTCACCGTTCGGCGTTTTGCGATGCACCTACCAGAGCGCTCGTCTTACTTGAGCATTGGTATATATATGTATACTATCATATCTATATATTATATACACCCCCAAATAAATAGAAAAGTAGATCATTAGATCCCCTCTAATAATGATTAATTAAGAATGTTTTGGGAACCGGTTCTATCTAATTGGGGGACGACTATCATCTAGAGTCCACAAATGTCCACATGTACATACTGCAAATGATCTCATTTTCCGCCTTCGCCAGCTCGCAAAAGAACGGAATAAGAACATGTGCTCATGAAACATTTGAGTTTAGCAGGTCTGCCTCAACCCGTCCATGGTGTGTCGGTAGGTCATAATATGGGTTCTGCTGGTGGTGCTGGGCTCAAGAGTAGGTCGTTCTAAAGGGGACCTTGCTCACTCAGCGAACAGATGAAAAACGTATTTGACCTGTCTCAGCGTTCTCATTCACCAAAATGAGTATGTTTGTCCAACCAATAAAAACAATAATTGTCATTGATGTTCTATCAGGAGACACACATATCACTTACCCAAATGCTCCACATATGGCACATTGGGGTGGTTTGAGGGGTCAATGCAGGTGTATATTATATTCAATACATGGAGCGTTTGGGAGATGTCATGTCTGTATTTAGGTCAAACCAGCAAACAATTTAGTCTGTAGCAAATCATTCAATTCCACGGCATATGGGTGAGTTGTGGCTGGCACCTCAATCAACCTTTGCAGCACACAATGATGTTCATAACCCAATGAGGTGCTTCTAGCAAAGTTGGCATCCGAACTCTCTGGAAAACAGCTAGACTCCCAAGATCTATGATGGAAATCACTTGTGAAGCATTGATATTTCAATATACCGGAGTATAGTACCCCAAGACACAACCCGACCCTAACCACAATCTGTTCCAGGTAACTTGTACATATCATCCAGCTTCACCAATGGCGGCACACCATTTCGCTCTGGGATTAGCTCAATCCTGAAGTCCTCCACAGGCACGGCATAAAAATGACATGAACTGATTGTTTGCCGTAACGAACGTGGCCGAAAGCATGACGCTTTTTGATTGAACCCCACTCTGTGACATGCAGTCACGATTTAATCATGTAGCAGGTGAAGGTGACCCTAAGGGCTGCAAAGAGCTTCCGGAAGGCCTCATGGCTCTACGGCCCTACACAAGCAAAGTTTGGTTTTGGTATTTGGATCATCCGGGCAGGGTTCCTTCACCCTGTGCCCCAATCAAAAGAACTTTTGCAAAACTTGGTCACCGCTTTGATGGCCTGATTCAAACAGATACGAACACACTAGGTGTTACAGCATTGTTCTGAGGATGGAAACCAAGTAGTGGCTTCTGCTATAGATGATAATTGTTTCATAACACAAGTAGTTATATTACTATATATGTATAAGTACAATTAAGTCTAAACTGCCCCAGGCTGAGCGTGTCTGCCTCAACTCATTGAATTGACGCATCTGGAACTTTGTCATTGATACAAACAATATTGACTGAGGAATAACTAAAACTATCCAACTCACTCAATGGGTATGCATTGGAATAGGGAGCCCCGTAAAGTTGTTCAAAGCCTCATTCAGAAAAGACCCAACAAACATGAAAAGCCTCCAACAAATTTATACAGCATGTAACGGTTTACAAAAGCTAGATCAGGTCTGTTTCCCTTCTCTCCCCCAACCAAGCGCCTTCACCGACACACCACTCCCAACGCTTCGCCCAACGTTTCTTCGACCGTTTTCTCCGACCTCGGTGAGCCGATAGGCGTCGCTGCGCAGCGCCAGCAGGTCGTCGGTCTTCTTCACCGGCGCGAAGCGGCTCCGGGGGATTTGGATCGCCTGGGCACCTGAGCCGTGTGGCCGCCGTGTCGGGTCGTGGCGTTGACAAAGGCGTGGAAGCTGCGGGTGGTGGGAGGCAAAAAGAGCGGAGTGAAGCGGAGTGAAGCTAGATTTCCGAGAGAAGGAAAAACAGGAAAGTCTGAACTCATCCCCTTCATAAGGGCGGGGGAAAAACATGCAGGTTCTAATTTTGATGAAATTAAGGTGGGAACTTGCGATACAACCGCTTGAGGGCGCCCATAATTTGTGCCAAATAAATTCTCAGAAACTATAGTCACTATCACCAAATTGACTTCGAAAGCAGCTGATAGCAGCTGCTTACCTTATGGTTCCTGCTACTCCAAACGGAACGCGACTGATCCCTTCGGCCCAACACCAAACGAACGGCCGCCGCGCCGGTTCAGGCCGCCCGTTCCGCCTGCGAAGCAGGAGATGGCGGCGCCCATGGCGGTCTCCAACTGGATGACTTTCGTCGACGCCTTGTCTCGAGGATCCACCGTCCTCGGCCGATGGCGCGATGGCGCGATGGCGGCCAGGCCGATGAGTGGAAGGGTTGACGGGTCGAAGTATGGACAGTATGGACGAAACAGCTTTGAAAGAAGGAAGATCAAACGTCAACTGGACAATGAAGAACAAACTCCGGTCCCACAGTGACATCTTCATGTCCAACTTTGGTCCGTTGGTCTTTCAACCAAATACAGGCAACATGAAAGCCCTTTCTTGGAACAATTCATGAGTTTAAGGTTATAACATGCTCAGTTCTCCAGTGAGAAGACTTTGTGCACTCGTTCTCCGAGCATCTTGTCGTTCTTCATCACCTGCAGCGCATCGCCACCCACCAAAAACGATTCACCCAACCAAGGGCAAAGGACCGGACCCCGGGTCCCAATTCTAATGGATGCGAGCATTGGCATTTGAACCAAACAAGAAAATGAAGACGAAAGGCTTGGCAAAGGACTTCGCCTGATCCCATCTCAGCCTATGAGGCGATCTCCAGCCAAACTGGTCATGTGAGCTCAGTGCTGTGAAGATCAGTTAATATTAATCCTCCTGTAAAGTACAAGTAAACATGTTATCATCCAAACAAATCGGGAATTCCAATTGGGTGTTTCTTGTTGGCATGTGAACAACAAGAACATCAATGAACCCATGCGTCCAGGTTCTCCGGTCAGCTCCGGGGGTCTATATGTTCAAGCTTGGCAGATCCGCATATATGGCTCATATGACAACATTCAGAAAATGAGATTCCGTGAGATTCCTAGATCTCCTTTGGCAAATATCGGCAGATTGGCAATCCCAGCTGCTGGCAAGGGCAAGGCCCCAGCATTCTGGTCGAAGAGTTCTTTCAGTTTTCCCAGGTGAACCCACAAGTTGTTCGTGTTGAAGTACCGGTACTTCGAGGTATCCTGTGCAGGGCAGCGGACATAACATCGGTGTGGAGATGCTACGGCTATGACTGTGGGTAGATCACTATCATCAAGCGGTTTTAATTACTCAGAATTCATCTAATTGCCAAGGTGTCATCAAGTGTTCTTCTCGCCTGGACGAATCCGGTCCTGGAAGGCCTTTTCGTCCTCTTTGGGACACTGAGCCGATTCCCGTAGCGTCAGGCCGCCGCCTTTGAGCGTGGCCAAATGTCCTCACGCGGCCATCGATGGTCGTCGGTTTGGATTAGTTGGCCGCAGTTGAAGGGTAGGTTTAGAGGCAATATGGTGGTACCCTAAAGAGTAGCCCAAAGGAAACCCTAAAGAGGTTACTTAGAGACTCCACAGAGGTCACTTGGAAGGTCCAGGTGGTTGCTTTTGCAATTTTTGAACTTAACCTTGAATCACTAAGTCTTCAGGATGTCGCCCTAATTAGGTGACCTACTTTCCTCCTAGTGTCCCATTGAAAGCCTCAAGCAAAGCCCAGTTGACTTGCTAATACAGAAAAAGTTACAGTAACCTAAAGCAACTATTATACCAACACCTGGCCTCTTGTCAATATATATATATAGAACTATAATAGACTGCAAGACTATGGTGCACTCTCGCTCGAATGAGGTCCACTTCCACCCATTCCTTCCCCTTACGATTCTCGATGCCTTGCGACCGGTGCGACTGGTGCGTGCCCTGGAGGGCGCTGCCATGTCGACTCCCCCAAGCGCCCGGTCTCTCCTCCCTTCTTGTCGGCATCCGTGCGCGCGGCCACTTCCATCAGGAAGGGAGCACCTCGCAGGGGTCCACCAAGTAGAAGACTTCGAGTCTAAAGCAAACACAAAATGTTGCGCATGCCTTCCCAGGATTGTTGATTATATCAATGTTCGGGTATCACACCCACCTGCCGGTGACCCCCGCCATCTGCATCTCGGTCTCGAAGTTGCTGGAAAGGCGATTCAGTGTTTCCCGAAAGTGAACCAATCCAAGAAGGCTGCATGAACCTACTTGGACCCGTGTCGATGCTTGGAAACCCTTCCTGGATTCTTGACATGCACAACCCGTCGGAAGAGCCCGAAGAAGAACAACACAATCCTGAAAACATACGTGAAACTGACACACCAACCATATGGGCAACTTGAATTGAATCAACACCGGCTCCTTTGCCCTTTCTGGCCCCAAGTCCATGTTGTAGCCCATATCCACATCACCCCAGAAACACACAATAACAGAAAACATTCCAACTTGTTCGCCTGACTGGGCGAAATGCGTCAAGAGCTTCAAGTCCAGGGTGGCTCCCAAGTTGTCCGAGTTGGACACGAACATGTACTTCACCCCCTGACATGTCGGCGTCGCGGCGAACACGCCGTCGTCAGACGGATCGACCACCGCGGACGCGGAACCGAGCCGATGGTGCAGCGAACCGATGGTGGGGTTCGGGGTTCGGGGTTCGGGATCGGATTTGGATAGATTTGGGGCTTAGAGAATCAAGGAGCCTCAGTTTGAAGGTTTGGTGGTTTGGTTCGGGTCCCTTGGCCTGCAGGTCAGAACATCCGAGCCCATGATTCATGATGCTTAGGGTAAAATGAAGTCATCACAGCCATCACAGCATAGAAGTTGAGCTGAGTAGTACCATTGTCTGATAGCTGAGCATCAGGCAATCAAACCATGGAATTTTGGGGTTTACTGGTTTACTCATCAAAGCTATCATTCTTGGCATGCAGGCTACTCATTGAAGGGCTACTCATAGCCACTTGCTGGATATATACCTTACATACTGTAACATATGGAAAAATAGCGATATATACTATAACATATGGGAAAATAGTAAATAATTCCACTCACTCATGAATCTGAAGCAGCAGAAGTGCAGCATCTCTTGTTTTCCAAGCATCCCTTCAGGATCTGTTTGTCCATTGCCTTGTTTTAAGGCTTTCTTGCTCTCCAAATCCCTTCAATGGTATAGCTGCTATAGGATAGGTTAAGTTGAGACACTAGAATCACTAGAACCCAAATCGTGCTGGACCAGTTCATACCGGTTCATTGGCTGAATTGAATGGGGAGTTCCCTTCTGGTACCGGGCAAAGGTGACTTTTGCATTACACTCCCGGACTGAAATAATCATGGAAGTGGAGTAACCACCTATTTGGTATTCGGATTTCATGGTCATCCGAAAAGAAAAGGGAGCCATCCACGTTCAAGGAGTATAGGACCCCCTTGACGGCCAAGTGCTATCTGGCGCCAGTGACATGCCGTGCGACAGTACAGATCCATGCAGTGCAAGCCAGCAGCCAATGGAAGGACTGTCAATCAATATACTTCCATCATCAGTGTACTCCAAAATACCCAGCCCCAAACCTCTAAACCCTGCCATGGTTCAGACTTTACCTGAAGCTTTTCACCAGATTGCTCCCAAAAGACACGTTAGTTCAGCCAACCATTCCACCAAGGAAAACAGCCGGCCTCGCCTTCGCCAGGAGTCGGTCCAAGGTGCCACTGCCCAACATGGCTGGGTACAAATCGCCATGCCCCGGTGGACCTGGAGCGTCACGGCGATGCAACACGGCGAAGCTTGCGCCGCGGTCAGACCGGTCCCATGGTGGAGTGGAGCCTGGCCGATGGTGGCGTACGAGGGGGGAGAGGAGTCTGTGAGGAATGGAGGATCTGCGGAAAGCTGCTTCAGAAGTTCTTCATGCGCATCACAGCTGGACTTGGTGAGATGTTTGATGTTGGGAGAGGCTGAAGGTCCAAAAGGCACAACACCTGCTCGATGGCTCGATCGACTAAGTGGAGCATGAGTTTTTTTGGTCGAGATATGTCTTAAGCGTCAATCAGTGATATCCCAGAATTGGTTCGACACATATTGAACAATAGTGAAACACATGCAGGAAACATGTTCTCAGCTTAAACATCCTTAAACCAATCCTGGGATGATATCTTTTAACGCTGTGGCTGTGGTCCATAAGGGTCACAATCAATATGCTTCGAATTAACCAGGGGATCGACCATGTGTGCTTGCTTGGAGACACAGACACCTACAAGAACAACGCGAGCGGGTGGAGGATACTCCTGGGTGGGGCTTCTATAAGCGGAAGCCAAGCCAGACGGTGGATATGAGAGCGCAAGCACCTGGCAAGACAAGCAAACAGACCTCAATTGCGTATGATCATCCGTATCATCCGTCTGTTTGCCTCACGGGCAGCTTATAAGCAACCGATACACCCACAATTAAGGGCCTAACAAAGGGAGTTTCCTCTGCCGGAGTACTCCAGGGTCCCAGGTTTGGAACATCTCTTAGGATTTCTCTCCCTGAAAAAGTCTGGGAAGTGGAGAAAAAACCAACGCAGTTCCTGAAGTCCGACTGGCGCAGCCGAGTGTCACCACTCATGGGATGGGTCCGCAGGCCACTCCGCCGGCTTCAGACCTTTTGCAGTGACCTGGGCAACGAGAACGGACACTGAGAGGTCAGGTGTATGGTGCATGGGAAGCTTCTGCTAGCCCGATGACGTGCTGATTGTATTTCATGAAAACTGCCACATCTTCAAGAATCTTGAATCTACATCCCACGGTCCCAAGAGATTCTTTGAGACAAGCCTGAGAACCTTTGAGCCTTCACTTCCCGAGTGCCTAGTTCCGTCCTCACGCCTTGGGTGCCTTGTTCTGCACGAACTCCAAATCGTCCCCAGTGCCCAAGGCAGAATATTTGCCCAAGGCAGCTAAGGTATCCGCCGAGGTTGAGAAGGAGTTCCTTGGTGAACGTGGGAGATATATGGCGCTCTGTCAGAGGGAAGAAGAAAAAGGATGAAAAAGGGAAACTCTGAGGGGTGGGAGGGAACTGAATGCACTGATGAGTATGATCATATACAGGAGATGCTTGGATATACCAGCCCAACGCATGCGACTCTGACTAGAATCTTGTTTCATACACGTATGCACAACACATCTTGTTTGATACACGTATGCACGAAACATCAAAAGATCTTGCAATAGCATCTCATACCCCTCTGCTTCCAAGTGACATCAGCATGAACTTCAAATCTGGCATGTTATAGGTTTTCTTCATCCACTCCACCTGTGCCGTCCGTTAACTTACGGTATACTGCACCAACAAATCATGGAATTCTTTACACAAACGCTGGAACTGTACTCCCCTGTCCAACAGCAAGGACTTCCAACAAGATGGTTCAGATTGCCTGAAAGGTGACTCGAAATCAACGCCACTCACATATGCTTGCAAAGCTCCTAAAGAGGACTCCCTCCCCATTGGCTGTTTTCGGATCATGAAGCCGTCTCGATCCGTCTCGAAACTCCTCGATTCGTCTCAGTTTGCTTCGTGCATCGCTTGCACCGGCACCTGCTTTGCAATGAGGTCCAGGAACGAGTTCCCGTCTGTCACTTGCAGCAAAGACTTCGCCTTTCGGAACGAGTGCATCGCGTTCGACCCACGTCACGAGACCTTCGAAGCGAAGAGCGTCCCCTTCTTCCGCGGTGATACAGCGGTGAAAACGCAATGCTGTGTGGTGAAAACGATGTTTCAAAGAACGAATCCGGTGAAAGGCGAAAACTGAGTGAGATTATTAATGACGTGAGTAATAATAGATCTATATAGAGGCAATTTGCGAACATCCATTTCCCTATACACTTCTAGGAAATCCGATGCCCATCCCCCCAAAAGGTTGTTGGTATCTTATCCGCATGGACCACGGGATTGAAGCCCCCGATACCACACAACCTGCTTTTGAACCGGAACATAGACTGTGGACAGCTTTCCCTTGCATCCTCCGAACAATCTCAACACCTTTTCTTCAATGCATCCCGAACGCCGCCCTTCCATGCTCTTCCCCAGCCGGGCCGGGCCACGGAACCTTCCTCGCCAGGCCAGTTTCCCACACCAGCACCACACCCACGCCACGCCTTGTCAAGGCCCATGCCAGTGCCCAGGCCACCATTCAGCTTCAAGACCACGGTCTCTTTTAAGAGTCCAGGATCCTCTGTGATCTTCAAAGCCTCTGCAGTTCGACGGAGCTGGGTCGCCTCCGAAAATAATGATGAGACGGGGATGTTACTCGGCTTCAGGGGGATTATCACCACAAATCCCCAACATCTACATACAGCCCATATCATTTCTATAGACAATAGATATTAATCCATCATTGGGGGATATGTAATGACATTTATATTTCATTATGTTTACCTCCAGTTGTCAAGATGATGACTTTGGGGCTGGCAGGGTATGCCCGAGCCTGACTCTAAAGAACATGTTCACCCTGGCAGAAGACTTTCGACTTCAGATTCCACCGGAGTTGGCTGTCTATCCAAGGCAGCATGTTGAAGGCCTCAACTTCACGAAAAGACAAGACCACATGGTCGGATCTCCGACTCTTGTGGATGGTCTTCAGTCGAAATCCGGCATTGGTTCTGAAACGAAAAGGTTGAAGAAATAAAAACAGTTTGTCAATTTGTGGGGTGTCCAGAATGTCTCAAAACCCGTCTGAGTGCGAGCACTGAAGATCGCTACGGACGAGGTTCTAGATGGGTCAACTCCTCTTCAGTCAAAAACAACGCTGGGAAACCCAGCGTTGGGGTGGGAAGACTGTGGCAACCCCTATGAGTGTCATCCCCATCAACCCTATAATGCTTGACCTCCTGGTCCTGCCGGGTCTTATATATCTACTGTAAAGTTTGAGCCCCGAAAAAGGACTTCTTGTGTCTTCTCCCATCCTGCCTACGCACAACCACAATTAAACAAACAAACCAACCAAACAAACCGAACCAACCAAACCAAACAAACCAAAACCAACCCGACTTCCAAACTCAAACCCATCCCATCCCATCCAACCAAACAGCCAACACAATGCGCGGCAGCGGGCGTGCCAACAGCCACGCCTCCAAATCAGGAAGCGTGGCCACAGGTTCCAACTGCGATTCTGGAATCATCGTACTTTCTCCTGACGTCAAGACCTGCCCCCAGACCGCTGCCCCGAACGGCCGCTGCTCGGTGGATGAGAGACTTTCAAAGAACGGACCATGGGCCAGGAGGATCCAGGGCCATTCGATTTCGCGGGTGAGAACAACACTTTTCATGTTTCTGGCTGCCCAAAAAACATTCACCTTCACTTTACGGAAAAAAAATAAATCTTTGGAAGCGGCTAATTCAAAGCTGGGCAGTTCCCCCTCCAAAACGGTTCAACCGGGCGGGGTTTTCCCACTCCATGCCTTGAAGTTGTAGCGAAAGGCGCTGATGGCAGCAGCGCTTTCACTCTCCTCCCGAGGCCAATGAATTAGCTAATTACTGATGTAGTCCCTGGGGATGCCTGGGAGATAGAAGGAACTATCAAGCGACTTAGGAGCCAGCCGAAGGGCTGATTCCCAAAAAAAACAAAGCTTCAAGCACCTTCAAAGCGTCAAGCGCACTAGTTTTTTCAGCTCAAGCAAGACAAGAAACTGGTGCATACTTGCGCGCGTGCGGAAGCTGGTCCTTGCCACCAGCTTTCATCTTCTTCTCGTACTCTGGCCATAGCTCCTCGAAACTCATGGCGCGCAAACCACACGGACCGGAGGCCTCAACGGAGGCGCCTACGCATTCGACGCTGGCGATTGGCAAATGGCAGGCAGGTGGAGGATGTGGAGCGGACGATATCCGTAGAGGTGAGGGTTTAGGGGGTGCTCACCTTGTGAGCCCAACAAACGATCAGGCCTCCACGAGAAGCTGGATCCTTTTAGGTCTTCAAAGCTGGTTGTGCCGCCAACATATTCTCTGCAGCGTTCACGCCATTGGTTGAGGATTGGTCATTGACCGAGTGATAGAGTCACACAGCGTCATGTCCAATTTGCACCAAGCCAATGGAAAAACACACAAATGACAATGAACATCAATGAACCATGATTTCAACCACCTTGGGGATGGGCCGTGACATGCCGTGAAACGAGATTAAACCAGCCGAAACCGGGAGAGTCTGCACTGGGCCATATTGGCATCTCTTGTCGGACGTAGAATATGCTCTTGTTCACTGTGAAAACCTTCTGAAATCACCAATGGATTTGTTTATGGCAAAGCCCATCAGAAACAATCAGATGGGGGACACTCTATATTAAACACTCTGGCGAACACACAAAATCAACAAACCCTGTTGATGGCACCGAATCTGTGACCGAAACCTGGGAAGACTATCTTGCTCTACAAACAGGAAGTTGTCCGCTTCACTCGTTGGTAACGAAAGCATGCACTGGTTTGGGAGTGGCCTGTCCTCCCAGTCTTGGGCCTGCCTTTGGGATTGCGCTGGTGGAATGTGGTGTTTCAAACTCGACGGACCAGTCTGACCAAGACGATTCTATATAATTCATTGGTGCGACCAATTGGTGTCTTCTTTCTCCGCTCTGGAGCGCTCTCCGCTGCGCTACGCGCAGCTTCTGTAGGTACTGCAAATGGCTACAATTGATATCGTCCACGCCTTGCGGCGAGGGTGACACAGCCGCTGATGCTTCCTCTCAGAAGTTGTTTAGGAGAGCCTGATCTCCTCAGTCGCTGCTAGAAACGCTGTCAGCCACCAACAAACCAATAATCTAAGAATTAAGAAACTAACATTATGTGGAAGCAAACAAGTCCGTCCGGGATTGCTGGAGACTTCCAATGGCTCAAACTACGTCAAGTTACTTCTCTTGAGGCTCTCTGCCCATTTCTCTACCACAAATCTGGCATATGTTGGGCTCATTGTTGTCAGAGCACAGGAATACCCAACATTATAGCCACAGTGACCAAAGATATCACAACCTCTGATGGGAAGGTAAGTAAGTTCTTTGGCGGCTGCAGATCCAAAGCGATAATCTAACGCAGTTGCTGTTGTCGGAAAAGCATGTTCCAGCTCTCTTTCTCTTTCTCCTCCATGTTTCCAGTTGAATGCACAAGACAAACGAACACCCTAACCAGCCCTAACCATGAAAACTTCCGGCATCTTCCGGCGAATCTTCATGTCACGCTGTACCTTCTGCATGTTACCCCAAGAAAACATGAACCGAACAATAAGGGTCATGTCCTGGACGGCCATACCTTATGTTCTTCAAAAAGTTGCCGTTGGACCTCTCCCCCACCATTACTGTTTGACAACATCTGCAACAAAGAAGCTTTATCAAACTCTCCGTCTGTAAATATAACTTCCTTCCATCTGATTGATCGGGGCTTTCCTCAAACCCGTTTCTTTCAATATGTCTTCCTGACCACGGGTAACACCACCCCGAGCATGGCCGTTGCATGGCCTGGTCCTCCTTCTCCAGTATCACTGCAAACCTAAAATCGCAATCCAGTCACTGGGTGAACAAATGCATTCGGCACACAAACTATTTTCACTTCAAAAGCCTACATGCTGCTAGGCAAGAAAGAGTCAAACAAAAAGCTGTCATTCCTCAAGTTTGGGGGATAGGTAATAAAAACACATGTTTCTTTGCAATCTTTGTAACCACACTGAAAATATACATTTCTGATCACCAAGGATGTTTGCAAAGGTATCAGAAAGTGGTTGATGACATTGAACATCTGACTATATACACCATATATAATATTTAATTATCAGATTGTCTATATAAGCGTCTTGCTATGGCGATAAACCTGCAGAAAACCTGCCTAGGAAAGTCACACAGGTATTGCTAACAAGATTGAAGCAACACAGCCCAATCTCTTGTTACTCCAAAAGGTGGCAACGGCCAGTTTACAATTTCACTGTGCTCTTCAACGAAACGATGGCAAGAAGCCTTGCTTGCACAGGTCAAGCCTCGAACCTGGGCCTGATCAACCGTGGACATTCTTCCCGCAGCTACGTGAAGCTGTCTGGACATGCAGTTTTGGGCTCTGGCGGCCATGGGAAACAAAGCAGCTTCGTCATGCCCCCTTCCCCCCGTCCTCGTTCCCGCCCTCGCCAAGAAACAAGGCCAACCACCACTGTCGTGTCGTCCAACTTACCCCCGCGGAAGGACAAGCCCTCCGAGTGGGCTGCCAACGCGAAGGGTGTGATGATGTCCTTCTCGGCCGGTCCGGTCAGAAAGAAAACAGCCGTTGTTGGCTTCATGAAAAGCACCCAACCCTTTGCAAACAGCTGATCCGGTAGCTGGTTGAATGTATTTTCCAGTAGGTGCAGGGTAGCTGGGATCTTGGCCGATAGCCAACTTTAACTGCTGCCAAACAATAATAAACAATATGAATTGGAGAAACTTTGGCCACTTTTACCTTCACAATGTGCAGCAAGTTTCATCTTGTCCGAAAAACGATCTGTCTCATTAAGGCTGGCTGAACATGGCGCTGTCTTAAACGAACCACATGGACATACTGTGACATACTCCTACAATGGGCTTTGGTGAAGTGACACGTTGGCTTAAAGCACCGAGACGAGCGGTCATCGAAGGGATTCGGCTGCTTGAACCCTGGACTTGACCGTCACAGGACCGCTATATGCAGGTGCCAAGTTATTTGCAATCCGCTAAGAGTGCATGAATTTATCTTGCATTCCGCGCAGGTCCGACCCAGGTCCAAAACCTGGTCCTGAAAACCTCATGGAGTAAATAGCATTCTAATATCATTATCTACATATATTGTATAGTACAGTGTAGTATGTGTATTTTTGAATATGTTTGTATGATCGACTCCAGTATCATGGTCGTTCACCAACCTGTAGGGATTGAAACTCAATACACAAGTGGTCTCGCATTCTTTTTTTGGTCGTCGAACCTGGGCTTCATGCGCTGAACTCATTGAATCGGTTTTAGTCGAATATGAAAGCAACATGAGTCTAGCTAATACGCCCTTCCAAAAGCCAGTCGATTCTGCTGATGTCCTTGAAGCCTTGTGCAAACCCTATGAATGTTTCAGTAGATCTTTAGTCCGGCTACAAAACTAGCCACTCCTCCCCAAAAGGATCACTCTCCAGTGATTTCATGGACCATTTCCTCATACCAGTTCCGCAGCGCCGCCATGCGCCGCCTGCCACCAGTTCCGCTACCCTGCCGCGGCCGTGAACCGCGTCGCGACCTCGCCTTATGATCTTCCTGTTGACCGATTCGTTGAGCCTGCTCACCCGCTCCGCAGATGGGGACGGCGGGGAGGTAAGAAACAGCACCGAGGGAGCAGGGGGAAGCTACAAGTGGATCCGTTTTTTGACCCAACTGGGGCACCGTTTTATAAGGTTTTGCTGCATGATGCGTGTGCTTTTTACTTGTTAAACAAGTACTCAGGCCACTTGCCATCTGCCAAACTCGGGCACGTTCAAACAACGCCATTTTTTGGGAAGGTGAAGTCGGTGCCATGGACGCTCCGGAAGATCCTTGGAGGGCAGACCCCGCTCGTGTTTGGCTTGGGCTTCGTGTTTGGACCGAGCTTCTTCCAGCGGAATGTGCTGTGGCTCCCAACTGCCTGCTGTGCTTTTTTGCTGGTTGGTCCGATGGGACGTTGCAACCAAGTGATCAGGCATTATAGGGCAAATGAATGGGTGCTTAGATGGGCAGGGAGCGTGGTTGCATGAGATTGTGGCAGGTCCAGGCTTGCTCCTGGACAACAAAAAGGGATGTTCACCAGCTCTATGCTTGCAGAAACATAAAACATGTCCGATCATCCCTTTGGAGCTAAGGGTTGTCTTCCCCTACTAGCCCACGGCCGTGTGATGTCTCGATCTCTTTGGAAACCGCTTTGAGTCAAAAAGCTCATTCCCATCCATGCTCATCCCACCAACCTTACAGGCAGTCCGCAGCTCTCAGCTCTTCCACCACAATATTCGCTCGTTCGCGCCTGTTTGGCGATGCTCGTCGCCAAACCGTTCAAGTGCGGCGTGACCTCGGTCTGCGCCATGCATGGAGCTCCGACTTTATGTGATGTCTGCAGAGCGCGCTGATTCAGAGCTCCATCAATCTGTGAACCAGGGTTTTGTTCGTTTCTATGGTTTTTAGTCTTTGGAATCTTGGGAGCCACTGGTTACCAGCTATATGAGTGATGTGCCTGGGATCTCCTAAAGTATATACCCGGAGAACCGGAGATACAGCTCAATGACCATGCTAGCGATGTTGGTGCGATGCCGAACGCGTGCCATCCTCTTCAGCACCCACCTCACCCGGGCACCGACCGACCGGTGTTTTGATCAGAAATGACATGAAATGACCATATTTTTTTTGGGTGGCTTCTGATTCAAAATCAACGTCACTCAGGGTTCTAAGGTGTACGCCATCTTAATTTAAAGTTCTATGGACCACTGGACCACCTAATTAAAGTAAGACTTCTCACTTATCTTCATCATCTTCGTCTTAACTGGCAAACAACGATGCGACATCGGCCGTCATATGCCTGAATGACCTGGGGTTGGGTTCCCCGGCAGGTGCGCCTTGACTCCAAGCTTTCCCGAGCTGTTGCGCCACAATGGCTTGAACCTGCGGGATGCTCGTGTGACGCGTGCGTTTTTGCTCGTGGATGCTCGGGAAGGGCGAGAAAGTCGCACGGAGTCGGAGAGTGCCACTTTGGAAACGTGGGACTTTTAGGACTTCCAGATGCCCTGTCAAGCTTTGTTGAGAAAACAAAACCATCCTGCAAAGTCAGATGGGGGGGTGTTGGCGTTGCTGCCCTTGTATTTTCTCAGATCCATTGAATGCTTGCGAGACCTGCTCTGAGCTCTCCCGAAGGTCGCCGATGAACTCTGGCCAAGAACTATAGGCAAATGCTGGTAGAAACTCCAGCAAGGCATTCCGCGTGTTTTGTTGGTTTTTCTCCAGGACTTGGTCCATCACTGACAGCGAGAAACTCTCAGCAAACTAGGACATCCTAACCTGGTTCTTCCAAGTCCCTTTGATCCCTTGGTTTGAGATAGGCTTGTAAAAAACTCACAAACAGGTCCAAGCAGGTCACAAACTGAAGAAACTGGAATGTTATAGTACTGCAGGTGAAGTCAATGATTCTTATGTTGCTGCATGCAAGCCCTACAGTGGCCTCAAAAGACATAGAAAAGGCAATAACATACTATAGCTTGGGTCTATCGGTCTATCCAATTACCAGCAACAGTGGATGATGATGCGTGGGTTGCAGGCCGACATCTTGTGGATCCTGACGGCTCTACAGGTTTACTCATACAGACCCAAAGCTTAGCAACGACATCGCTTCCAACATCGTGGCTTTGGGATCTCCAACATCCACTGGGAGTTTCAATCGTTTCTGTTGACGACAATTGAGTTCTCCGAACCTAGGTACAGCCTGTGTACAACTGTTTTGTAGAACCCGTAGATTGATATAGATTGTGGCTACTTTGGAGACATCGACACTACACTTGTACAAACTTATATGCTAGAATCATGAGGGACCTTGTAATCTATAGCTGTCCACTACCTGGCCTTCACTGTGTCTTGAAGGCAGCATGCCAGTCAAATGAAGGTCCAGTATCACGCCTGGTGATCGAACAAATTGTCGAAGACACCATCAGTGGCGGCCACCACCTGGACGTGTCACGGTAGATGTTGAGACATGGCCAAACAAAGAAACAGAAACTACGACCATGAACTCCTTATGGATTCTTCACGGATTCTTATGGATTCCTTAGGGATTCTAATGAAACTACTTAGTTCCTTATGGACACTTCATGGAGTTGTATTCCGTGTAATGAATCTGTACTCTTTGCGGTTCAATCCACCACCAGCGGAACGTCTTTTGTGCTCAGGGAGGGGAGTACAGGCAGTCGACCCTCAGTCTCACACCTGTTTCCAATGCGAAACAAAAAAGCGTCTTGCCAGGGGTTTTCCTTCAGACTAGCGCAACCAAACGACAACAGGACTCTCCAAAAATAACCAGATTTGGAGGCGAGTTTGTGGGAAAAACAGCAAACACCATTTCCAAAGACACCAAAAATCCTCCACGCCACAAACGCCACAAACTCTCTCTTGTTTTTTTCCCTGGAAGACGCCTCTTCTTTCACTTCATCGGCCAAATCTTTCTACCAATCCTCGATGTTCCTCCCAGTCCTATCTCCCACTCTGCTGGCGGAACCCGCACCAGATCGCCGATCCGCACCCGCACGCGGATGAAGTCCGGAGCCTGCAACGGTTTCGGCACGGAGCGTTCGGCCGCGCCACAGAAGCTAAGGTGCGTAGACCAAGGTTCTAGGCCACTGAGCAGGTCACATGTCAAAGCGACCGTAGTCAACGACTTGGCATACCAAATGATCCATCCGAGCGATGAGAGCACGATTCCTTTTTAAGAAGTTCCTTGTACCCCTCAAGACTCGAAGGGTTCAATGCCCAAAGACGTGAATTATATATAAAGTTTGGCCCATCCCCCAAAAAAGATGTTTGGATGCATTTGGCATTTGAGCCAGGAACTCTGGGGTGGCTGTAAATTGACATGTCCACAGTGTGGAAGATTCACCATGCTGGTGGTTTGGATTAGGGGATGGGAGTGCACTTTGCCAAACAAGCCCAAACAAAGCCTTGACAAAAGCAGAACACACGCTTGAAACAACAACCCTGCCAATTGCACGTGCATCAGCCGTGTGCGGCGTTTTCTGTTGCTCCCGGCAAGAGTCGAGTCTTTGATAAACATCTGATCAATTCTCCACCAATTGGATCTGCAGGTGTTTGATCAAAATGTCAGACCCACAAGCAAGGTGCTATCTGGCAAACTGGAATCAACACATCAGTTAACTAGAGGCTCTGTCTGGGTCTTTGTGGCATCCTCTCGGGCGAGATCTTTCAGAGCCCTTGATACGACAGATGCCACCGGTCTGGTTCATGTCGTCAGGCACAGGCATGCTGGGCCATCCTTTTTTTTGTACGGTGCGAAGTGGCCAGTGTCATGGCACCCAGACCACTGGCACCAGCGCCACCGTGGCAGCATAATATATGCAAGTTTCCGACCAAAACGATGCCTGACACGAGGCACTTGGGCCACCGGTGTCAGTGTCACCAGCGTCTCCCCAGCATGCCAGGAGAACAGTCTTGTGGACAAAGCGATGCCGTGTATTCAACAAACGCCGCCCATGTAATGGACCCCCTGAAACGCATTTCGTGGAAATTGTTGAAAGTCTCGCCGGACTGTTGGACGCATATTTGCGCAGGACTGAAACGTCGACCCCTCGCCCTCATTCGTTTTTACTGCCTTCTCCATGAACGCCTGTGCGTGATGCCCATCAGCAGTTCAGCAGCATTTCGATTCTTCCGATTCTCAAACTGCTTCAGGGCGCCTGGAAGCTGGATCTCATCGTGCACTGTTCTTTGCTGCGTAACCAGTGGACACAAGCCCAACAAACTGCGGAATTAGTCATGTCATGTGTCCTACATAAAGGGATCATGAGATAGACTATAGGACAACAACATCGTGACTCACCCCACCTTCCTTTGCAAATTCTCTGCGTCATGGTTCGTCATACACTACGAGCCAGCGGCAGCGTCCATCCACAACACTAAGCCTGAATGGCGGCTTGATCGAAGGACCACGTGATCCGCTCCGTAGCCTGGGCGATGTCTACACCGTTAGTGTCACCCATGCAGACCACTTTGAACGCAGGAAAGTACCACTCTGACTCTTCCCTATAAGTCGGGGAGCAGGCTGCCTTGAAAAGGATTGCCAAAACAGTTCCGATGTTGCCACGTTTCCAACTGCTTAATGAGATAGAAATAATTCGACAGATCATCACCACTCGCCCTGACACTCCCTAAGACCAACTGGCCCAGCGTGAGGCCGGCAGGCAGCTGGCACCAGTTGACTCTCTTTTCACGAAGGTTGACGGGTCGTCTATCATTTATAAGTCTATCACTTTCAGGTTTATGTGGCGCGCAGAACAGTCCAATTTTGATGAGCCGGCGTCCCTCCGCTAGGACCTCAGGCTTGTCTAAAAAGGTGATCATGTCAGCTGCATGCAACTTACGAAGCAGTACAGGCAAATCTTCACGCTTAACTTTGTGACACGGGCCATCATGCGTTGTAGGTACGCGTACATTGAACAGCCAAAGGATAGCCTCGCCTAAATCGGGACTTGCCCGAGGTTTGCTCCATGGGAGCCTGGACGGGAACAATGTGGGATTCCTGGCTGGATGGCCAGGTGTCGGCGCCCCAGTCTCAGAGAGAGAGAGAGAGAGAGAGAGACATACTATTATATGGATCCGCAGGTAACGTGCAAAGGATCCATGCTGCTTATTATATAACTATTGCAAAAGGCCCACCCTCCAACGCATCATGCTCATCAAGGGGGAACCCAGGTGAACTAACTTCGCAGTTTGTTTTTCTGGTGTGTCCGTGGCTCTTTCGTTCTGACATAGGCTGCTACTGTCTCCAGTTCTTGCACCTCGCCCCCGAACTTTGGTCTTTCGAGGGGGTCCGGCAGATCCAGCAGCAACCAAGCAGTTCTCCATTCCCGGTTGTCGAGGGCAACTTGGTGCGTGGCCCTCGGAAGTTGCGTGACCTGAAGAGCGGCATGACTGGTGCGGCCCTTCAACAAAGTCTGCAGAATTTCCGACAGTGCAATATGGTATCTCATCAGCGTGTTGAACTTCCCCCGCTGCAAACGGCGAGTGAAGTCCGTCAGCTTGTATGAGCTGTTCCGCGACCTCCCTCACATAGTGCCGGACATGCCTCAGCAGGTTCTTCCTCCGAAGCTTATTGCCTATCGAAAAGCTTATGCCCTCCACCTCCCTTCAGCCTGACCTCCTCTGCTGAGCTTGAACCCTCTTGGCTTGACCAACTGTTTTCCTCCAGATCTGCGGCCTTCTCCTTCTTGTCCTTGGACCGACCCCTCATGTCAATTCTCGGAGCAGCTCCAACTGAATTAGGGCATTCAGATCGACCGCGTTGCCGGGGCTGGCAGCCTGAGCTATAGCAGAGTATCCAGCGTCTGTTCCTTGCTGGGAGAGGCACTCTTGATAGCGGTGCTTCCGATCTCCATGATTTCGGTCTGCATTTCCGGAGCTGGCGGCATCTGGTCGGCTTTTCTGAGAAGCCTCATTATGCCATCCTCGCAGTCTGACTCCAGACTGGTGCCTGCAGAACTGTCTTCCTTCCCAAAGGCTTGCTGGCCTCTTCTGGAAGGTCCTCTGACGCAGTGGCGTAGTGGACAGACTCCTCTTCGGCCTGCACCTGCAAAGCTTTCTCTCGGATGATTCCGGATCCATCTCCAAGGCCCTGTGCCTGCGCGCATGCTGACCTCACACGGCCCCAATCTCCTTCGACCAAACTGAAGATGCCAGAGCCAGAATCCACTTTAAAAACTGACAAGGTCTGATCAGCCAGTTCGCCCTCCAACACCCTCGCTGCTAAATGCAACTTCCCACTGGATTTTGCGCTGACAACCACTGCTTGCCGCCAAGGAGGTGAAAAGCCTTCTAAGCGCAAAAGCACCGTGGACTCGTCACTCATTGCCAGATGAAACTGCGATCTGTCCAGCCAACTGGTGAGGATCAGCTGCCCGATAGTCTCCCAAACAGCGCAAAACCGCAAGTCAGCCAAGTCAAGAAGGAATCTTCTCTGAACCCTTCTGTCCACAAAAGCAGTTGCAACGTTTCCAGCCACTGAAGGTTCGTCCAAAACAACTGACTTGGAACCTCAAATTGCGAAGAAAGGTTCAGAGGATCTGGCAGGATATCTTCTTCAGAGGGATCAAGGAGGATAACGTCTTTCGGTGCTTGGATCAATGGCGCGGGGCGAGAATTCACAAATCAGAATCGGGTTCGGGTTCCAATTGGGACATAGAACCGAGTCGACTTGAGCCACATTGAAACATGCAATCATAGTATAATATAGGTAACTTAAGAACATTCGTGATTATCGCAGTTTCAAGCCCCCGCTTTAGATCAGCCTTGATCAGCCCTTCCTTTGCCAGGATCCCACAAACCAGAACAAACCAGGTGTGCAACGGAAAGCAAAACACACACACACACACATGACACATGAAAAACACATCCAAAAACCCGGAACCGATACATGCACTGAAAGGCCCGTGGGGGCCACACAAAGTGTTTGAAGTCTGGAGGCCAATACAAAGGGTTTGTCCACACCTCCACAGGTGCGTTGCCACTGCCCAGCTGGTAGGGGCAATTGAAATAGTGCGTCTGGTCGCAGGACCTCAGCGAGAACGCAGTCAGGTCGCAGTCAGGTCCCATGGTGCACGGCGGTGGCTGGGGCGGGCTCGCCGGAGGTACTGAGGGGGTGGTCCTGGGAACTCGAAGAACCAGGGAATATAAAGAATCGAGCCGCGGCGAGCCGCGGACCAAGTCGTTTTGGTCACTTTTGTTTCCTAGCGAAATGAAGGTACGTAGATCATTGTAGATCAAGCAGTGAGGTTGGATTAAATGGGCAAACAAGAAGCATGAACTGTGATTGCCACCACTCTTCGTACTACTGTGCAATACTAGCAATACTCCATATTGCACCACTCATGTCACGTCAGCCACCATACTGTAGCTCTTCCCTGCCAGAATTTTTGCAATCTTTACAACATACTCTCCTCCAAGGCATCATCTTTCATGCCTTTCATCTACCCCTCACTTCCGTACACTGTCCCACACTGACCCTCAAACATCCTCAAACATCATCAACCATCCTTTTTTTCAGCCGCCCCTTCACGTCACCCCCTTACGTCTAGAAGCCGGCCCGCCCCCCATTTCAACCCACCGGTCCCGGTCCCGGCCGATGTCGGCCAGGCCAGGCCTCCCGGCCGAAACACCACGCGCGGGAAGAGCAGCGGGGAGTCGGATTGGGGCGGCGTGCGCAAGGCCGGGCGCAGGAGCATGGCGCCTGCAGCGACGTGGTGCGTGCAGCGACACGGTAAGTGCGGCAGGTCGGTACGTGTCGAAGGTATAGGTGGGGCGTGATCGGCGTGGTCTGAAACACGTGGCTGTGATGGACAAAAGTGAAAGGTAATAATGGTGAAAAGTCCATGTTTGATATTAGATATTAGTATCAATGATGGATCAATGATGGGAGATTCATGGAGAATCCCATGATGGACCTTTTTCTCACTTTTGGTGGCCTTCAAAATGTTCCTTTGTAGAGCTTGCGGCAGGTCGACGCGACAGGAGACCGTCCTTGCAGTTAGTTTGTCCCCTTGATTGACGACCTCTTGTCACACCTTGGAAAATAGTTGCTTCCGCTCAAAGTATATCCTGCTAGGATGACCCTGGATATTCCGGCGCCTAGAAGCAAATGCTAAACAGTTTCAACCAACAGTTTCCGTGGAACTGTTCAGCTGGAAATACAACACGCCAACAACACCCACAATCCCAACGACCTACAAGCAGTCTTGCATCACTAGGTATCACAGCAAGACTGACCTTTGTCACCTTGGTGTCCAGAAAGACCTTCAACCCAACATGCTACTGGGTGTTCGTCAATTTGCCCAGGCCGAAAATACTAACAACAGAACACTTCAAATACCAGCAGCATGTACTGTAAGCCACCAAACTACAGCAAGTCAGACTCTTTCATTACGACCAAAGCAGCTCCTTCTCGGTCTTCCTGTTCCTCTTTGGCGAATCATTTTCTCACCAACTGGGCGCCAAAAACGTGTTGTCTCCAGTGTCCTGCACGGTGGGACCGACCCTCTGCGACCCTCGGGTTTTGAGGTCGACCCCCAAAACGGGTTGGTCGCCTGAATCGCCCAAGTTCAAGATGCCCATCGTGGAGCCATCGAGTTGTCCCAGGAGAGCCTCCAGTCGGCCATCGAGGACGTCGGTGAGCCCCGGTGCGGTCAACAGATGGACGTGACGAGACAGACCAATCGACCTCCGATCCTCCGGGCGAAAGGATGATGCTGGAAATTACAATGGGACACCGCTCTTTTTTTGTGAACCGTACGTCTAAAAAGCAAAGACCATGTGGAGCATCAGCATCCCGTCACGCAACACACACCAACGATACTCTCGAAAATGCTAAAATATGCTAAAATCCCTCCTAAAGAGTCCATAGAATACTGTATATAGTTGTTTTGCAACAAAGCTCCACTTATTATAGATCGAAGTCGATAATACTTCAGACTTGGTGCTTCAGCATCCTCCAAAATATATCAAAATATGCCAGACTCATCGTGACTCATGCTCTGCCCAGTTGTAGGGAGTGAATCATGAAGAATCTTCACCAGCCAACACAGCAGTTCAGTGCCAGTTGCAGTTCATCTGAGTTGTGTTTTTTTTTGTGGTGTGGGGCTTATACACTGGGTCTGTACCTACGCGGGTGCCTACGACTGGGCTCCCCTCTCAAGCAAATGCCTACGCGAGAGGTTCTCTTTGTTAGGTGCCTACGCGGGATGCCTACGCAGGGTACTGTCACCAACTTTAGTCACATCAGGTGACTCGAAAATAGAAGAGCTATATAATCCGCAAGTAGTGGCCCGATGCGACCGGGTCACATCAGGTTCCTGTTTACAAGGCGTTTACAGCTTTGCTACCGATGGCCAGATAGATTTTGTATCAAGCCGATCCAATTACAGTGTGGAAGCAGCAGCACATAAGCAGCGCACAACAAGCAGAAAACAAGAGGCAGCAGCAGCAGCAGCAGCAGCAGCAGCAGCCAAGCAGCAGCAAAAGCAGCAGCCAAGCAGTAGCAGCAGCCAATAGCTTCTTGCCTACGCGCTGCTTCCGCGAGCGCCTACGCGGCGCCTACGCGAAAATAGGTCCATTGATTATGGTACCAACAGGGTGCGCACAGTTGTAGCTCAAGAGCCGGTGTGCCAGACCAAGCACGATCAAGCTTTTGACCTCAAAAACCAATGTGCCCCCATAGCTTCGACAAACAAACTTCAAACATCCACTGTAGCCATGTCGTTACAATTCATTTTCATTTTCCTTCCCCACTGGAATTTGCAAGCAAGTGTCAAGTTAAACAACTACAAGCCAACATTATCTTTCCCCAAGACCCTTGAACAACTTTTAAAGAAGTCTGAATAAGAAAATTCAGGCTTTCATGAAAAGGGTGCCTACGCAAGACTGCCTACGCAAATCTTTCAACACCCACCTACGCAAAATGCTTACACGACGCCTACGCCCCAAGCAGAACAGCCTCCGCGACTTCTCAACAGTTCCCTTTTTGTATAAACCTAATCATTTGCAAAAAAAAACGTGGCTCATCTGAGGGCTCCGACAGTCGAGCCACCTTCCAACTTTTCTTTCAGAATCCGTTGTGTGGCTTCCAGGAGTGCCTCCCAGTTTTTCACGGATGCACTTCAAGCTTGCAAGCAAGATCTGAGAGTGACAAGAGCAAACATAGGACTTTTAATGCTCAGCCAAATCTCGTACCATCAACACCACCTTGGAAAACATTGTCAGAAACAAAACATAGAACTTGCATTTCCTATTCAACCTGGCTCCGTCTCAATGAAGCAACATGAGCCACATTTGCTCGCACCTGCCCATCTTCACACTCCAACCACCGGGCCTCGTGAAGGTCGCTTTGCTCTTCAATGCCCTGCGAAACCCGGATCGCGACAAGTCACTGGCATCGCCGGCATCGCACAACTGCTCGGTGACCGGGGCGAAGCTGAAGCCCACGGATGTTGGGAGTAGTATGAACTCTTAAGCCATGTCACCCTCTAGTGATTCTAATGATTCTCTTGGGTAAATCAAGCAATCACCCGAACGGGTTTTGTACATGAACTACGGCAACACAAAAGGATCGCAGCATGCTGGTCCCATACAACTCAAGGTTGGCTACTGGCTTAAGTCACCAGAGCTGAAGGGCATGCGCTGTCATCAGGCCTCAAGTGGAAGATCTCTATCCCCGTCGACAAAAGTTCGCCTACGTTCTTGTGATGAGAAGACTCTGAATGTATTTTGTGACAGCCCGCAATACTCCAAACTGTCAGGTGCACATTGTTTGTGTTCTATCCGGCAGCGTTTGGCGTCACCAGAACTGGCACCTCGAGACAGAGCTGTAAGAGGCGACGTGCAAAGAGGCCAGGGTCAACGCCTTCGGCCGGTCGATCGGCGCGATTGGGGCGGTCGAGTTCGAGGCGAAGAGTGGGACGAGGGCGGGCCGATCGGGGCGCGGTCGAGGTTCGTGGATCGAACAACGACACGACCTGTCTGGGACGACACGCATATATCTATTGTTGATGAGGTGGTTTGAGGGGTCAATGTACGTATGGTCATATGTTCTATAGATATGGAATGGTACATGGAGTGTTAGGGAAGGATATTCTGTTTTGGTTGGAGGACAAAAGGCCGCCAGAAGATCAGCCTGCTCCGACACCCAAAGACGGTCTTTTCGAAAAAAGAACGTCATCATCATATACGCTTTTGTGCACCTCATACGTTTGATGCATGTTTATCACACACTCCCCCGGAATGAAATAAGAAATTGGACCATGTTGCATGGAGTTGCATGGAGTTTTTTTGTGAGTTGAATCGACCAAGGTCTCGATGTGACAGGGACAACATTGGACCCTGCCGTTCAGCACCCAGTTCCATGGAACTGTTGGGAGGGTGTCAATTCCTTTGAGAAAACAAAGAATGAACTGGGCTCATTCCCAACTTGGGAAGCAACATGAAGCGATATCATAAGTGACTTGGGTGTTCATTGTAAATTGGTAACTTGTTGTTGATGAGAGCTATGGCACCCGGCCTCTGCCTGGCCGCCATGGTGGAGATTTGGAACATGGAACACCGATCATCACTGGGGCTGAATCTGTTCCACTCACCTTCCAAAAAGTCCCTGGGTGAACACGAACTGCTTCTGTCTGACTTGTAGCTCGTAACCTGCAGTCTCGTACCATCTTCACCCTTCCATCCACCGTTCCGACTCGGCCTCGCATTCCTTCGATCTGGGCCCCACACCATTGTCGGCCCAGCCGCCCACACCGTCCGCCACACCAAAGGCACGCCGCGCGGGACAGGCCTCGAGTTGGTTGGGACCGAGTCGCCTGAGGTCTTTCGAGGGTTGGGCTAAGTCTCAATTGGTGACCCTCACTACCAGGTCGGCCTGCTAGGGCAAAGCTTAATTTGCTTCGTGCGCACACCATGAACCCTGCATCCAAGGAGCAAAGTAGCCATCTTCGCCGCCTTTCTCCACCTGCGTCTTCACCGACTTCACGGGACGTCCGGGGCTTCACCGGATCGTCACCGGATCACATGTTGGGATTGGAGCCAATCAGTTGGGATTGGAGCCAAGCTGAACTACATATTAGAGGTTAGCAACAAACTGAGAAGAAACACAATTTGTTCAACAGTTCTTCCATCATACACCTGGCCTGTGTTTCATTGTTAACCATGATCTTATATGTACCTTCGCAACACTGGAATGCATCGTTTTGAAGGTACATGATTCTATCCCTCAAGAGGGCACAGGAAGGTTCAAATAGTATGTGTTCCAAACCTCAATCTATGGAACTACATCCTTTTTCAAACACCGGACCCTAAGGTAGGTAAATGTACCAGTCTCACAGAGTTTGGGTGCATGTGAATTTATACAAGAATTCTATGACATACCTTGAACCTGGGTGACACCCGTTTTAAAGACCAAGAATATGTTCCTGTTTCATCCTGTTTCTCACACGGAGGTCACATGGGTTAGTTCTGGCATGTTATATAGATATACATCAAACCCTACCCCTCTTGGTGCTTCTTCACCACGATTCCTCGCGTTCGCCACGTGCGCGTTCGACGGGACGGCCGCCTTCTCCGGATGAGGCAGGCACGCTGCGGCGAAGGCCAAGCGCAGCCTCCCAGTGCCTCGAAGGCGAGGACATGCCCGGCTGAAGGAGCACCGGTCCTAACGATGTGATCTTCAAATGAAGCTCCT